GAGCTCAAGCAGAGAGAGATATCGAATTAGAGCAGGTAGTTTTGTTAAGTGGATGAGGCCCCTCTCCCAGCTCTGACTAACGAAGCTCGGGAGCCCCGTGAGCCTAATCAACCCAGGTTGCCGGGCCCTATTTTATACCATCCTTCCGACTTCTCATCTCCCCCCACCCCATTTAACCCCACCTCTCCTACTCCCACTCCCATAATATTGTCCCGACCAATCAGTGATGTTAAAGTTATTTACATAGAATTTCATAGTATTGCATAAAAGAACGATAAGCGTTCTGACTAATTGAAATCCAAATACCAGCTATTTAATTTTTCTGCGATTGTCAGCGTATGCTCTCAAACATATTTATCCAAGTTAGGATGATACTGTGGTAGCGAAAGACTCCATTCAATATACATTAACGCATTACCGTCAGTATATATTGAATAGAGTATTTCGTAATAATTTTTAATTATCTGCTATTGTCATTAGATATTTTACTATGCTGATATCATGAAAAACTCACCTCAGATGAAATATGCCTCCTTGATAGTGATGCTCTTTTCAGCAAATACCCCTTTTACTTCATGATTTCTTCCATTCTGTGGACCGTGTTATTAAAAATTTAAATGGTGGGAAAATAACGTAACTCTCATGTTCATCAGCAATCGATCGCTGTTAAAATTGTATCTATATTCTGGGATTTTGAAAAAATAAATGAGAACGACTTTATTACTCGTCTTTGCTTGGCATAGTCTTTAAATGTGCAGAAACCAACTGTGCATCGGCATTTGGTCAATTAAATTGTTGCATATTATTTTCTTCTCAGGAGATTATTTGAGCGGTTATTCATTATCAACTCCACCTATATTGCAATAAACTCTAGTAGGTATCTCCCTTGAATATGAAGACTTGTTCCGTATTTTTGAAATCGATTTATTATCATTTAATTTACAAAATTTATATCTAAGTCTATTTCAATTGTCAGCATTCCTTACTTAGATTACGGGTCCGTAATTCTTAACTTACTATATTATCCTCTTTATAATTACCTAAACTTAGCATACTCTTTACCATCCCTGTTCTTGGGGAGGAATGATAGCGTCGTTTAGCTATCTTAGTCTTTAATTCCTAAGTTACTATATTATCCTCTTTATAATTACCTAAACTTAAGCATACTCTTTACCATCCCTGTTCTGGAGAAGGGATGATAGCGTCGTTTAACGCTTTTAGTCTTTGACTGTCCCGCATGAATGTCAGAAGGGCCGAAAGTAAAAATAACTGGGACACCAATCATATTTGGCACCGCCGATACAGACGTGAGCAATGCAGTCTTCTTCACCGACTTGGCTCCAGGCTTACTGGCTAGGCCGTATGCAAGCCTTTTCTCCCTTCTGATGTGGCGCCTGGCAATGGCTCTCAACTGAGGATCACCGCGACATACGTCACACCATTTTCGAGATACTTGGGCCGCATTTAAGAGTGAGTGGGGCTCCAGCATTCTGAAAATATTCTGGGTTATTTCCACTGGCAGACTTACAACTGGATTACATTCAGGTGTGGCAACACCAAGAAGGCGCATCAGCTTTCCGAAAAATTCCATGTTGCTGGTGCTGTAGGAAACTGGAGAATGATCTCTGCTGCTGACGACTGCCTCTTTATACCATCCTTCCCACTCATAATCTTCCCCCACTCCATTTACCCCCCACCATTTCTGCTCCCCCACTCCAGCAGTATTGTTTCAACCAATCAATCATTGATGTCAAAATTAGTTACATCTGATTTCTTCGTTTCAGACCACTAGATTTGCGAATTCTTAAAATCTGGAATTCAAATATTGTAATTAGAATAAACAAATCATAGAAACATCTCAGCCGCACGATAAGAATTATTGATTGTTAACGAATTTGTTATTTTTGAAGCATAATGAGTTCAGAATTTCTCGTGAGATTTTACTTTAGGATATTACCATTGAAAGTTCAATATATTGAAATCAAGGATAACGTATGCATCTAAATACAAAATATACTTGATTGAAGTATATTTCTTCCCGTGTAAGGAGTTTCCAAGAACGACGCACAGCAGGCGATTTCATGGGACATGAATCTTTTAAAAAATTATATAATTTTCTGAACCCTTCTATTGACGAGTATTAAATTTCTCAATTTTTCACTTTTTTTCAACTCTATCCACGCAATTAGTCAAACCAGACATTTTGCTTAAGTGGAGGTATAATAGGAACGAGATCAATCGAATGTATTGTCTTATTCACTCGTTTAGTTTTTCAGTAATTAACTGAATACCCCAGAAGAATATATGTTTATACAGTGACTCAACTAGTACAATGCTCGTTCCATCGGGCGCATCACTTTTGGTACAATAATAAGACGAGCTGTTAGCGATATTTTCTTAACTAAATCAAACTGTATTGAAACCACTTATTCTGAAATGACTAAAAAACTTATAATTTTACATTTTCAACTCCCAGATGCATGGCGCGCCATGTTTCAACAATGCGCCCATTTTCCACAAACATTACAATGCGCATCGTCTGCACCTTGTCAACTGATCTATCAGAGCATTTGATTGGCGGAACGCCACCACTCTTCTCTTTCCACCATTATCCTAAAGATGCAGACTGCAATGTTTGTAGAATATAAACGCAATGCTCAAATTGAACGCGGCGTCCATCGAGAATGAAAAATGCCATTAATCTTGACCTCTTAAGCCTCCTAGCTAAAATTTGTAATTTTATGCTATTACTGTTTTAGGTCACCCATAAGGTAACGGCGCAAGTGATGGTCCTCAAGATGAATCAGTTACCAGCAAACAGGCCGAACATGCTTAAAGAAGTACAATTAATGAATAAACTTAGTCATCCTAACATACTTAGGTAAGTTGAATTTTTCTCTAATTTTACTTTTTAAATTACTAGTTTAGACAAATATGTTGAGTCCGCTGAGAAGTTATGAGGCTGTTGTAAACTCCGGGTAACTGGATGATCCATATTGTTTATAAAAGGTGACCCCGAACAACTAACCTGATCGTGGGCAGTTACAACTAATAAAGACCAAAAGAGAATGTGATGGGATTCTGTGGGATCAAACACTGAAATGTACTATGCCGGGCTACGCCGGAGTGATAACAAAGAATCGCACAGAGAAAGAGAAAATCTTCTCCTTCTGGTTGAACAGTATCGTTTCGTTAATCTACTAAGAAAATAGGATTGTTACAACAATTTCAGATGAAATCGCTCAGTAAGTTGGGAAATATGGGACAAAACAAAATCTTAGATGATTACAATCGGGTAAAACTTACGGTAGCCGACAGTTAACGGATGGAACGAAGACGCTATTACTCACTCTCGTTGTTGGTTGTTGGATTTGGAAAATTCATTAGAGCACTAAAAGAGATGGACGGTGGCGAGATTAACGACTTCAGTAGTTCAGTGCCAAGATCTACTTGTCAAGACTTTTCACCTGCCTGATGGCAAGGTTTCTAATCGGGAATTTGAATAGCGCCCAATCGATGACCTCGACTTTCCATTTGACGGGGGATGACGGTACAGCCAATTGTGGACCTCGATCGTTTGCTTGACTTGTTAAGGAGTTTTGATCGCAGACCAATAGGGAGAGTGTCAGAATTGATCCGGTAAATGATTAAATACTTAATCTAGCGGTGTTCAATTCCCTTATTTACGACTGAGTACAAAGCTGCTTTCAGGATGCTTCCAGCTGAATCTCCGTTGATCAATTAATCGCGGTATTTATTTAGTTCTTAGAGAGATCAAGAGATGAAAGGGGTATCACTGGACAGACAATTTAACCCTCTTTTGTTTTTTAATTATTGAATTTTCTTTTGTATCCATTGCGTCCTTCTGCTGATGTAATATAGAGCAGGGCTCGGCAACCTTCAGGTAGCCAGGAGATATCCTATTATTAGGGTCGGGATAATCTCCAAATCCTAATGGGCACCCAATTAGCCATCGTTTGCCTGCGAATAAGTCCCAGTGGTTACGACATTGCCATCAGCTACGTACAGTGGCGTGCGAGTTTAACAAAAATGGCTGATCTGCCAGAATTGGCGCAAAATTGATGCATTGTTATCGATTTGTATCATAAGTTGAAGTTGCAATAGTATTATTCATATCCCTCTAAATTCCGTTCGAATATTATATCTCATTCCAGTATATCAGAAACGGAAAGTCTGGGATAAATAAAATAAAAACTAAGTAATTCAATTTTATCAGTCACAATGAAACAGCCTCTTTTCCGAAGGGCTGCCATAAGCCTCATTCAGGCCTAACTCGGTTTTTTTGACCAGCGATTGAAAGAAGTTTGATACGTTAAATGCAAATCTTTCTCCGGCTATCAATATAATGATTTTTTCAGTGAAGTCAGGCAGCCTCAGTGAATTAATTCTTGGCTGCTGAAGCTTTTCCAGCCCTGTTCTCATCGTCGGTCTTTAGAATTCTTATAAGAGATCTTATTCTAATTTCGAATTCTCATATTCATTTTCTCTACAATGCCTATTAAGTTATCGCTCCAACTCAGAATTTTGGACATTTGTTCTATCTTATTTATTGAATTATTACAAATATCGTCTGGACGTAAAATAATTGTCAGTGGTGATTCCTCATCCTGAAAGCATTAGAAAATACCTTTTCTCAATATTGCTGCTTATTTCGAATTGATGGAAAATTGAAAATTGCCGCTTGATTGCACGGTCGCCCTCTGCCAGTATCGGTCGAACCATATCGGTAGCTTCGTTAAGGGAATGACGCGCCTCTCCCAGCTGTCACTAACGAAGCTTGGCAGCCACGTGAGTCCAAGTTACCGGGTCCCAGATATACAGTGAAAAAACCACCACCACTCTAGCATTTCTTGCACCGTTGTGCAGCCAGTTATCCCGCGCTCCTGATTTGGACAACTTCAACCCTGAATAAATCGAAGACGGTGCGTCCGATCGAAAAGTACTGCGGCTATTTCGATCCAGAATTAGCCCGGAATTTTGGGATGAAGGTTAGGCGTTCGGTTTTGGGATACCCTGTATATCATTCATCAAATTCATTTTTATTCATTTTTTCAGATGTCGACTTCTTATAGCATTAAAAAATTTCACTTTTTCATATTCAGGAATCGGGATTCGCACGAAAATCCTACCTTTGCTTTTCATTTTTTTAATTATCTTCCCCGGAAAAAAATTCTAATTTAAAAATGAAATTTGAAAAAAATCAATAAAAAAATTATCAATAGAAAAATATCAATATCCAATAGCAAGTAAACACTGCAAGATCAGAACCGAGTATTTCATTGATCAATTTACAACTCAAATTAACTCAGAACGAAAAAAAATGTATAATACTGTTGAGGTTGACATGTATTTCATCGCGACTATAATTATTAACAATGGCTTTCAAACGAACATAATCACGGTATGCTTTTTTGGGGGTGGAGAGGTAGCACCACGCTTAGCCTGTGTAATGAGAACCTCAATAATACCTTGTTCTAATTTAAACAAATTTATCAATTTCCACAAACAGGGAGGAGCAGCTTCGAGTTTACCCTGAAAACCATTATGCCACCCCTTCACCGTATTGTTGGGACGCGTTTTGTATTTGGCGCGTTCGCATTTATCTCTGGAATTGCGGCGACGTTCACATGTATGCAAGTTGCGCGCGCATAAATTTCCATCGCCTAGAAATTTTCAATATCTTTCTAACTTTCTGATCCAAATGATTGATCTGACTGGATAGAAAAAAAAGTACCATTATGCGGTGGATAATTTTTCCACTGTCTCCATAGTTTCATCGCGAAGGAGATAGTTTTTCCGATTCTTTTTCTAAAACTTTGAGAATTTCCCATAAAAACGCGGGTTTAACTGACTTTGTTTAAATCCTAACTTTGCTATGGGATTGCAAAAAAATTTGGAATTTTTCATTTCTGTTTAATTCTGGGATAGATTCGAGAAGCTTCAAAAAAAAATCATCAATTTATTATACTTCCTAGAATGCATGTATGCCAATTTCCAAATATGAAATGGTACTGAATTGTAGCTAAAATAATTAATAATAAAGCCATTTTTCTCTGTTCTTTAATAAAAAGGTTCATGGGCGTTTGTGTGCACGAGGGTCAACTCCACGCACTGACAGAATACATAAACGGAGGTAGTCTGGAACAGCTTATAATGGCAAGGCATACACCACTGAGCCATTTAAAACGAATGAACCTGGCCAGGGACGTGGCGCGTGGTATGGCCTACCTGCACAGTAAAGGAATTTTTCACCGGGATTTAACGTCAAAAAATGTCCTCATAAAACGAGACGAAACAAATGACGGTTTAATGGCTGTGGTAGGAGATTTTGGATTAGCGGCTAAAATACCTGACCCCAACTCTGGATATCGTCTAAGCACAGTGGGGAGTCCCTACTGGATGTCACCAGAGTGTCTCAAGGGACAGTGGTACGATCATCGTTCAGACATATTCTCCTTTGGAATTGTTGTCTGTGAATTAATTGGACGAGTACCGGCTGATCCTGATGTTTTACCTCGCTCTGACAATTTTGGGCTTGATTACCTCGCAGTTGCTGAGATTTGTGCCGCGGCTGATCCACCACCTGCCTTTCTTCAACTTGCCTTCAATTGTTGCACTGTAAGTTATTAATTTGTCTATCTTAAGGATATGCAAGTACGTTTATTCAGTTAGCAACTTTTTTTCAAATACAATTCTCATTCCGCGCAAAATATTGCTATTCCTACACTTTTTCGGATTTTTTATTGTTAAATAGGGTTTTTATTCAGATATTGTAAACAATTTTTTATTTAGTTCGTCACTTGGCTTTCGTTAATGTAACCTTCAGTGATCATATAACAACAGTGCCCATGCACTCATGTAGCCTCGTCTATTCCATCCCTATAGACTGCAGACGTACGAATTCAAACCGGGAGTTTTTCACTTATTTGTCCGGAAAAAATACAACAAACAGAGTCATAGATACGGTCACTGTATGAGACAGCGCTCTAAGACTACCGATTATTGAATTGAAGGTTTGAGCATGCAGCTCTTACGGATATCTCGTGATACATTTCCTTAAAAAAAAAATCTCACATACGAATACAATTACATACAATTACAATTTTCGTAGTTTTATTTCGTCATATATATTTATTATAAGACACTTGAACTTTGGGTCCCCGGCAGATTACGTAAACGAAGAAATATTGCATCTTATTGATAACTCTTTTTCGAAGATACTCATTTTCTAAGTAACCACTGATTTTTCCTCGCGAATGCCGTTGCTCCTTCATTAGGCGTTATCTTAAGATACGATCTCTGTCATATATAACGCTGGCACGATATTTGCGCGGGGACGTCGCCCCTAAACTACGGCACACCGTCCCGATTCTATATCGCCCGAAGGTCTCGGATATGTGTGGCAAGGACTCTGCTGCAGCCTTGCCTTTGCACTCTGCATCATCTTCTCAACAAGTCACGTTAAAAACAACGAAAACGTGTAAATATTATTGCCAAGTGTAAAATGAATGTTTAAGTGGTGTAAAGTTCTAATTGGAATGAAATATAATGAACTTCGTTCCAGTTAGATTTAACAATAAAAAATGTTCGCGCTACTTTGAAATTTCGTGAGTCATTACATAACGCAAAAACTTTATATTTTTTCACGTCAATACGATCGTAAGATTGGCAGACATTTCTTTTGTTATGTGAATTTTTGCAAAAAGGGTGTAAACATCCTTAATAAGTGAGAATGTCATGTCGGACTCAGTGATAAGAAAAGATAATCCGAAAATAATAGGTTTACCGTTTAAACAAAATATCGTTTTAGTTTAAACAAAAGATGTGAAGGTAGAAACAGAAAAGTAAATACCAAAAAATAAAGAGATATAAGCAGAAAATACAGCGGGGCAGAGAGTACTCAGATACCCATGTAGGGTAGTAGAAAACAGCCACTCATTGGGCCCAGATTGGCACCAAGTCCGCCGATAATCAGCGCCGATAACCGGCCAATCATCTGTCGATTATTGGAGCTTACCTCAATATCGAACTCAATAAATGTTCATTAGCACGTTCTCACATAGTGTTATCGCCGTTTTCATCAATTCTAGTTGCAGCAAAAAAGAAAAAGATAAAAATTAAAAAAAGCATGATTCTGATAGGATCGAACCTAAGTACTTCGGAGTTGTAGTCGCGCACGCTATCCGCTAGTCCATGCGGGTATTCTTATATTTTCTGTATTCTTATCTTGTCTTTAATCCGTAAAACCGAGCCTACAAGGTTTAGGATTTAATACTTATAGATTAGGTTGGTTATTTCCCGGACTTGATCGATTACGATCATCGGCTGGAGAACGGTATTTCATCTGGGCCTCGGTGATCGGTGAGGACATTATCGGCCAATAGAAGGCATTTCATCAGGGCCCCGATGATCGATGAGGACATTACCGGCCAATGAACGGCCTTTCATGGATACCCCGATGATCAATTCGGACATCATCGGCCAATGGACGGCATTTCATCGGGGCCCTCATGATTGATGTGGACATCATCGGCTAATCAACGACTTTTCATCAGAATCCCGATGATCGGGCAACCGATCTCGGCCAATGCTTGGCCCTGTTGTACAGGTCTGCAAATCCTACATGGGTAGGGCCACAGCTGCATGTGGAAGTGAAGCAATGCCAACACTACTAGGCCTCTATCTCCAAAAGCAATGGCTGCCGATAGGTTTTTCATGCGCTCAGAGATATTGTTCCAGACCTCGGACCCAGCAATTGCTAAGCTAGCTCTATAGGCCTCCGTGCGGAAATTAGGGAATACCAAAGCCTGCTACGCCCGAATTCGCTGACGAGGCCTAGAGGATGAACACTCAGCAAAAAAGTCAGCCAAATGAGTCGGAGAGCCCGTTTCCATCACCCGGAACATAAGCGATGCAACAGCTAAGGTCTCAGATGGAGAGCCACTCTAGATCGTGTCGTTGGCCTGAAATCGAGAAATCCCTCGATAATCCAAGAACAAAGCTCACAGCTCGATTGACTGTGCGCTGGCGCTGTCCCTTCAGGACCAAATCCCTTACAGGTGGGACGGGCAGTAAAAAATATGAGGGTAGATGCAGGTAGATTTATCAGCATTATACATAGAGAAACATCGGAGCAGTAGCATTCCTCCTTGGCTAATTGCTTACAGACTGTGAGGAGTGACAGCTAGTCTGAGTTTCTCCCGACGAATGCTCCTGTTCCACAAGCATCCCTACTCGGACAGTGGCTCTTGTCCCTCTTCATCAATGACATTGGCGTCTATCCTATCCACGAAATCTGCTTTATGTCGACGACCTGCAGATCTACCTGGACTGCTACCCATCAGAGCTGCATTTAGGCATTACTCGCCTTAATGAAAATATCCCCCGGATACAGGCATGAGCGGCTTCCAATCGTCTCTAGCCCAATGTTAAAACTAAGGCAATGTAAGGCTATCGTTCTAGGTGCCAAACGACTGATTAATGCATCGTTGAAGTTATTGATGGTGTCAGAAACCTGGGCGTATTTATCGAGAGCAAACTGAGTTTTTACTCCCATGTTCGTTGTGTGAGTTCCAAAGATTAACCGTGACTTTTACCAACTCTACTCTCTTTATGGCTGAGAGAACGGGCAAGAGAGGGAGGAAAAAATGGGGAACGTCACAGAAACAATAGAATAATGCAAATTATTGGAAGAATTCCAACTCCACACGTGTAAAAAAACCCATCCCAACACCCCAGAAATATACTATTTCTACGTTAATTTTTTTTTCAGTTGTTTGTAAACAAAAGTTTGCATTACAATGAAGGATGGATAAATTGTACCGGCCAAATACAAATGTGTTGCAGGAAAACGTGCAAACATGTACTAATTTTATTAATGGCACTGAAACAAATGACACGTGAAGGTCAAATGGTTTTGCACAGATCTTTCACTGAGCAATCAGGCTTCAATGGTCAAGCAGCCCTCTAATAGTTTAACAGCACCTCAACAAGACATCAACGAAACCTCGAAAGCACATGTCGGTACATTGGGAATGTTCTATTAGCTAATCGGTGCCTGTTGAAGAAATTCGATTCTAGGCTCGCACCTAGCCACTAAGCTACCGACGTCGGTCTCGATGCCTTTGAAATAGTTAATTGAACCGACAAATCTCTATGCTGATCACAACTATATAGTAAGCCCAAACCTATTGACAGGCTGTTGGAAAGGTTGGATCGCGTAGATGTAATGGATTAGATCATCCGGAGAATTTGGAAGCAAACAAGTGGACAGACAAATGTCAAGATTCCCATAATGAAAGTAGAATCAGAGTAATTGCTACTAATTTTCAACGTACTTCTTCGCTAACTCTAGAGGAAGCTGCATGCCAATTAGCCAAGCCATTATCAGACCCTCCATAGGACATCTCCAATGCCATTTCTCATGGTAATATTTATGAGAGCAAAGCAATTGCTACGTAGTATAAACTATGAGATGAGGCTGTGAAAGTTAAGCCGTTTGGAGCTTTCATTGGGAAGTCTCATGTCTACCCGACAGCTATTCCTGGTGACCCTACTGTGAAATTCACGGTAGTGGAGGTGAAATGCTCTTAATCTATCAAAAATGAAGAGAATTCCGTATCAAATCTAGCATACTTGAAGACTGATAAAAATGGGACTTGCTCTCTCAATATCAACCATCGTTATTACTATCCGATCCAGGGACAATTGTTAGCAATAGGGAGAAAGTCCTGTGATCTGATCATTGATACATTTGTTTTATATTGATATGTGAAATATTTGAAACTGTTCTGAAAACTGACTTTTATTTCATTATGCATTCTCGAGAAAAGTGCTTTTTGGCTCGTGGGCTTATATTACTCACTTTCAGATCGTGCGAGATAGCTCTGACAAGCCAAAATGGTTTTCTTCAGTGCATGGTCTGAAAAGTTTTGTCTAACGAATGTGTCTACATAACCTGAGCTGAAGGGAAGGATTATAATCACTTGAGAATCACCATTGTTTTTAGGCATTTAATGGAAAACCCTATCCCCACTAAAATCGTATTATGGTTCTAAGTCAGGCCCTTGTTGTTAATTCCAGCTTATGAGATGACTTTCAGCTACCTGGAGTTTGCCTATTTTGACTCCAAACATAAAGTCTGAGAAAACGTTATTTTAATACGTAAAGACTTGTTTCGAAATCCACTCTTGTCCTTTGTGTACTGCACACAGAAAAGACTGTACTTAAAATATGAGACTTAGAATATAATTCGAGGCATTTCAGATCTTCTACATTACGGGCTTGCAAACGTAAATAACTAGCTAAAACGACGTAATTTACGCCCAGAAATGCACAAATGTAAATTACGATTTTTGTGTGGTAAATTACAAGGGCCCATGATTTACGCTCCCTTTCTCGTCATTTACGACATCGCAATCACGCAAAATCTGTGATTGGGATTGTAAATGCAAGGGCATGTAGAAAAAAAACTTTTTTGGTCAACATTAAGTCCTCAAGTTTGAGAATATTTTCGGTTATCTACACATGACTTTCAGTGACATTTTTCAACATTAGCCCAAAAGAATTTGAAAAATTTGAGAAACAATAAGAGTGCTGGCTAGATAATCTGTAGAAGTACATTTTCTACTTGTTGTAAGTAACAAATCTACTTCTTACTAGTGCAACATATGCCTTTCAGCAGTACAAATGGCCTTGATAAAACTTCCCTGTTTTTTTTAGTTCAAAAAGTAGGAAAATGTGCGTTTTCGCCAAGAACGTCTTGGTACTCGGGACAAGTAGATTCTGCCGGGATCAATAGATTTTTTTGAAATATATTACAACGAATTAAATTTATTTTCCATGATGTAGACCTACTCCCACGACCGGCGTGATAAATTGACTGTCGATTAAGGTGAAAATTATATTTTTTAATAAAATAAAACGATCACTATTCGAAGTCGATAGAGTGTTATGTTTCATACTTTTCGGAGACTTAATCAATTGAATTGTTGATGTATTTTTATTTCAGTATGAACCAAAGTCACGTCCACTGTTTCCGGAAATTGTAACGATTCTGGAAAATTTAATAATTGAAGAACAAAATAAAGGAAGCCTAAGTAAACGACAATCAGTCGACCCAGCGCTGATCACGAGCATGGATGAAATAGCGAGAGTAGGGAGGACATTTACAAGAAGGATTGCAAAGCACCGGAGTTTGTCTGCTGATGCTAGAGGTTGCAATACTGCCACGCCATCGGATAAGGCCAGGTGCCACTCAGCCAGGCGAATTGCTGAGTTGGCGAGTCGACGAGATCCCCACTATCGTCCTATGACTGCTAATCCTTTTCACGCTCTTGGTGGAGTCAAAAAAATCCTTGGTGACTTGTTTTCAAGTTGCTTAGAGCTTCCGTCTCTCGAAGACGTAAGGCTCAGTGTTACTGATGGAGTTAGTGGAAAGTTTAAACCTGCCCAAAATGACAGTATTGCAAAAATTCTGGAGAGGAAAAAACCGAGCTCAGAGCCTAGCAGTCCTACAGCTAGAAAAAAATGGGAAAAGAAGGTAAACTTGGACATTTTACGTATTAAGTTTGAAATTCAGAAGAGAATATGAAAAAATAATCCTTACAGGTCATTAAAAAAAAGAGACGCTCATTGTTCATATTCATTAAAAAAATTTGACCTATGTTATTTTCAATGCTATTATCAATGCTAATGTATATCATCATAGTATTTTGGGAAGAGCTTGAAATATTAGTACTAATATCTCGATGTGTTTGAATAAACAGACCAATTGTACGCAATTTCCTTTTCTTAAAAGAAAAATTTTGGTAATTAATTAGTCGATTCGCCCCAGGTCATAATTTTGACGCGCTCAATTGATCGTCTTTATATTTCATTACTTTGGCATTTTATGAGCATCTATCTACTGTGACGTGAATTAAGGGATAATTTCAATGCCCGATCTTCACCGCTTTTTGCGTTACCCAGGATCAACGGCGGCTGAGATGGTGTGCGTGGCCCCATAGATAATACAGGTTGGTTCCTGGTAGCTCAGTTGGTAAGAGTACCCACTGCGTAACTGGAAGGGTTCGAGTCTTGGCTGAGGCTCTGGCATTCTTTTCTTTATGAAATTCTAATTTGAATTTTTTTCAACGTTCAAAGACAGAGGACAAAACAATGAGATGAATGATTAGACAATCTTAAACAGTATTCCTCCATCGTACCAATTAGACCACAACACTTCACCCCACATCTAACCTTCTCCGTCTAAATACGATGACCGATATACCTGTGCTGCCCACCGGCAGCCGAAGCAATATTATTAAACAGTAAATAATATATTAAGATGATTATATTATATACTATATTACTCAGTTGAATATGTTAATAAATTCAATTAAATATATATTGAATAAACAGACTCATCGCATCATCCAAAAAGAGAGGTCAAAGGGGGAGGAGAGCTGCGGTATCCTAAGCGACGATTGGACCTGCAGAAGTCTATCTTCATCGATCGTTTTGTGCTATCGTAGTCATTTTAGCCAGGGACCTGGGAAAATTCTTGGTGCGAATTCACTAAATAATTACCGGTACATTTCGTCCTGGTTTTTACGTAGGCGTAGCGTGTCCTCAGAAAAACATTAGGTAATTGTATGGTTTAGGTCCACCAAAAACTATAATCAATTAAACAATACTTTCTCTGATGAAACACCCATTCGTATCCTCTCAGTATCCAGAAATTGAAGAAAGAAAAGAGGCAGAAACAACAAGGAGAAAAAAGATCGTAAAACAGTCTAGACTCTAGAGGTGGGCAACCTTAGATAGGTTAGGAGCTGCAGCCATAAAGTTATTAAGGCTCCAATTATAGGGAACCTAACCTTATTACAAGGGTTGCCGTATATTCCTGTGGTGGGGGTAATGTCGGAAGATGGCGCATGCGCGTGATTGGAATGCTAGGGCAAAATTGTTTGAATTTTTTGCACGTATTTGGACATTTTCTTTTCAATATAAAAAATGGAAGTAATATTTTTTATTTTCAAAGTTTGATCATCACTAATATTTCCACTCATTTGTTCAAGTCACTGAAGCTGGTCCAAACAATTTCAGTTTCCTTGCTATTGGAAAAGGGAATCTTTTTTTAATATAAAAACTCGACAAGAAGTGGAGGGGAAAATTTTGCATTCTTTTAACAAAATGTTAGCAGTAATGAAAATTGGACAACTCAATGTTCTTTCTCTCAAGTTCACGATCCCACTTTCAATTTCATCGTTAACTGTTGACTTTCAACCATCATATTATATCATATTACCTTTATTCTTTGTCCAAAAAAAAAAAGTGCGAATACGGGAAAAACACATTTTCAGGACAATTTTTCAGCGAAAAAAGTGTAGGCCGATCTGTATTGATACCTCAATAAATTATGCGTTAAATATCTCCAAAGATTGAAGAACTCTGATAAGTTTTTCATTGTAAAAAGCTTGTGCATTTTAAGTTGGCATTGAGAGCGGAAAACAAATTTTCCGTTCTGTAAACTCAATTAGAACAACCAATAACCAATCAAAAAAATAACAACAACAAATGTAATGATTAAAAAAAAATATCCATTAGACATTGAAAAATTTTGAGTATTGAATATTCCCACTATTCTTGCCTACACGAAGGACATGATGAGCTCCCAGGGGGTGCTGTCATAAACTTAATGGAGGTTGGGAGCTGGAGTATCCCTAAAATTCCTTAAATCTTCCCACCCCCTGCGGTCGCTGTTGATACGACGAGTGAGTGGCAGTATATTCAATGATTTGAATTGTTACAGGAGAGTAGCGGCGAATAAATCGCTCGTCGTGTTTAGTCAATGGCAATAGATGGTTGGGCGAGGTGAATTCACGATTTTTAGTAAATTTACTCAGGACCGTTTGGAGATCCATCTTTTTGTGTGTCCATTGTCTATAAGTATACCAACCTGTGGTATGTTTGGGGCCGACAACATCAACACGTCCTCACCGTAACCCTATACAACGCCGAAAGCGGTGTTGTAACATCCACCTGTCCCATACTAATTATTTCCCTCTGGAATGCTGGCCAGATCCTTAATTAGTTGAGGAAACCCATTCCAATAAATATACAACATCCAGAATGGTTTCGTGGACCTAAACTAGACCACTCCACTTACCACTGGAGGATATCCTCTATTGATTAATCACATCCTTTCGTCTGGGATATTTTGAATCGAGCGATATTGTCGTGTGACCCTTAGTTGGATTAGTATGGTGGGGAAACCCTCGCTGCCTGACCGGAATCCTCAGGTCGCGTGCTATGACCAGTGTAGGGCTAACGTAAAATATTAAAAGTGAAGGAACGCCAAAAAATAAAATGTAATTATTCTAGGTTGCAACAAAGGTGGGAGTAGCGAGTCTATTTACACATCCCCTCTTTCGAGATGGGTGGGAACCTCGTCGTCGATTGAGCTGCGAGTCGGGCTTCTGGAGTTGCGTCGGAGAGGACTTGAGCCCAGAGCCACCGAATCGCCGTCATGCCTCAACCCTGAGTAGTTCAGCAGCTAGCAGTCTCTTTCTGTTGGATGATCACCGAACGAGCTCAATATATACCGACTCATCAGAGGACATAGCAAGCCTAGGAGGCGGAGACTCTTCATGCTGGGAGGAGAGATTTGGGGGGATTGGATCTTCTAGTAGAACCATTTCCAAAATCGTTGAATATTTCGAAAGGAAACAGGCTACGGCAGGGGGTCTGAGAATTGGTTTTGATCATACCATTGAGGCTGCACCAAGCAGAATTGGTCTTTTACGTGCTAGCCTCGAAGGTACTGTACCTTTATGTAATATTTCAGCTGCACAGCGACTCGTCGTGTGCGAGGGCGCTGTTAGAAGTAAATTACCCCTTTTTGATAAAAAGTGACTCTTCCGACGCTTTCAAAACTGAATTGTGAGTATCCTTTGAATTACTTTGAAAATATTTTCAGTTTCTTCTTATGTATGTAGGATAAAGACATTTAAAAGTGGAAAGATTTTTTAAGGATATTTTTGTTTCCACTCACATACATTATATTACCTTTATCTGTGCTATTAAAATGTTTAAAAGGCTATGTCAAAACATCTTTTTTAGTAGAGAATAGGTTTTCTATGAAGAAAATTGTATTAAAAAATCAGGTAAACCTTTTATTACTGTAGACATCAGCCAAATAATACGCAAATTTTTATTCTTTCAGCGTTTCACATGGCCAATGTAATCGTTAGTACGTATTTAGTACCTTCATTCGATAAATCGGTTGAACGCATTAGACAAGGTATGGATTCTGAGCGATTAATTTGAGATATGTTTTGTTCAGTTGAAGAAGAGATACCAATGAGAAATCAGTAAATCTTCGATGGTTGCGTTCAGCATTACTATTTTGATCGTATAATCGGCATTTTTCTCCATTGATTCATCAATTAAGAATTCAAAGTCATCGCGTAGATAGAAAGGTACTTTTCCCCCTCAAATGGAAACTGTAAAATCACTTTTTATTTCTCGACGAAAAGAAACTCGGCTATCTCCTCTGGGAGTCATGAGATTGCAAATGTGACTGTGATGTTTTCTCATAATTTAGTAATGAAAATTACATTTGGAAGTTTTGATAAATCGTTGAACCTCCGTCCTCCGTCCAGCAGTATTTTTTTCGAGAAATAGAAAATGAGCAAGTCTTTTAACACCTTCCTCTATTACTGTTTCATTCAAAAATTATTTTTACTACAAAAATCAATGGATAAATCAAGTAAAGGTGAGTCAACTCAATTTTAAAAAATAGAGTCGTGGCTGAATGGTGAACAACTAATCCACAATTTAGGTACGTGGCTACCATCTTCGACAGTATCTTTTATTTCTTCACTCTTTACTGTCTCATGTTATTACATATTTCTGTTCCCTTCTTCCTCCCCTTCCATACCAAATATTCATAAAGACGGTTGTTGTGGCCTCCGGGTGGCTGGACGATCGAATATTTCCCAAAAGGCCACCCCCAAGAACTAACTTGACCGCGACCAGTTACGTCCAAACGGAGACCAAACTAAAGTGGGATCGTATTGTGTGGGATAAAACACTAAAGTGTACCATGCTAGGTTACGCAGGAATTCTAATTAGGGAAAGGATCACGCAGAGAGAGAGAGAAAATCTTTCTACTGATTAATTTAGAGATGTTTATTGGGGTACTAAAAACACAGGATTGTTACAACAATCCAAGGTAAAACTGCTCAATTTGATGGGAGAGATAGGTAAAACCGAGGTGAAGGAAGAATTACAATTGATTCAAGACTTACAGTTGATGATAAACGGGGGGGATAGAAGGTGCGCGCGATCACTCAGTCGCGTCGTGGGCAGACTCGGCGGTTCCCTCGAAGGTTGAAGGGGTAGCTCTCGGTGATTCCTTGAAGACGAGACGATTCTCGGGGTGTGAAGGTGAGATCGGTGAACTTGGAGATTCGTTGCGATGGTCTAGGTGTTCAGGGCGTTCACCCGGCAGGTGAGAAGGTGCCGAACCGGGGGTTCGGGCAGTGTAAAGAAAGACCCCAATCTTCCGTCAGACCAGGGGTGGCGGCTCGGCTTCTCGTGAACTTCAGATGTCGGGTCACTTTATGGCTCGCTCGGTTTTCATTCACCAACAAAGCGAACACTTAGTGCAGCTTTATTACGATCTTTTGAGGCTGGACTGTGTCAGTGGGTCGGTCAGCAGGTACTTGTCGCTCCGTGCAAGTGTTGCCTTTTAAACCCAGAATGAATGAGTTCAGGGGAGTCCTCGTTGCCAATTTGATTTCTTCTTACTTACGCAGCTTCGGCGTGGCAATTTCTGAAGTGGGTTGGCTCAACTAGTCTGCAATAGACTTACACAGCTCAGGCGTAATTGTTGATGAAGACGGTCTGGTCCCGTAGGTAGGACTCCGCTTCCTCGAGGGTAGCGTGGCTGATGCAGGTGAAGACTAGCGATGAACCAACTTGGCGAATCAAGATGGTGACACAAGAAAACTGAAGTGACAGACTAAGGTACTCGAAGTGAAGTGCCGTCAAGTCAAGTGACAAGTGAAGAAGAAATCGTCTTCGCGGGTTGGGGCGGGATCATATATACCCTTGGTGGCGATCATCCCCCACCTAGGCCCGCGACCGTTATTTGGTAATAACTGTTATTAAGATAATAACAGATAACTTCATCTCCGTTCCACTAACTCACCTGAGCCAATATCGCCTCCTCCCGTAAACGGCGTTGTTCTTCATGCCGCTGACGAACTATCTCCATCTGGAGTTGCCTCTGGAAAAATGCCTCCCGTCGCTGGGCCTCAGCTTCGAAACGAGAAGGGTCCGCCCGCAAAAGAACTTGCAAGGCCAGCTCAAAGGTCTCGTCATGGAACCGGGCCCACTCACCCAAAAAGGAGGGGATTTCCCCAGCTTCACCCAGAAAGCTCAACAGAGAGGTAAACCAACGAGAGTTGACCTCCCGAAATTCAGAAATCTGAAAAAAAAAAAATTTTAATAAATAAATAAATAAATAATAGATATAAAAATAAATATATGTATGTATATAGTCCCGCGAGGAATTAATCGATATGCCGGGATTCGGCACTCATCATGGCGGTCCGCTTCCGGGAATTCGGGAGTTCGTTGTCTTGTTCTGAGAATCGGGAAAACCGTTGACAGCTGCGATCGTCGCTCGGGTGGCGTGATCTTCGTATTCCCGATTTTTACGACGTCTCGGCCTATCAGCGAAGTCCAGTTGATTTTGGGTCCATTGTGGGAGAGGGGTTACGCTTCCTGTCACTCACCTGTCGGTCCTAGGGGGCCTTTCAAGGGTGGGGGTTGTTGCAGGACGTTGGCTCCCTCCTTGGGTTGCACGCGTGTCAAATCCGCAGCGGGGCGTTTTACCGTAATGCATCTGGTGTCGGGCACCATGTCTTTGTTTCGGGGACCGTCGTAGCGCCGACTTCGCGACATAATTCTCATTAGGCTGACGTTTACAACCTGGCTTACTGGAGGGAGCGAGACGCCTCGTACCGTTTCCAGGTTTCAACCTGGGTCCAGGGGGGTGCACTCCTGTGTACGAGGGGCACGAGTCATCCCTCGCCTGGTGGCAGCTGGACGTCCTTCCCAGCTCCAGCCCAGGGCTTATATCTCGGTTTCTGGGAATTGCCTCCGATAACCGGGAGGATTCTTAGTATTGGGGTACTCGATTTCCCATTCACCTTTTCAGTTACAGAAGGGGGGGGAGGGAGGGTGAGGCCGCCTGAATCATCACCCTATTCTTTTGACATCATAAAATCTTCATACAAAACCTTGAACAAAATTCCTTGATGATTTCACTTAACATTATTCAATATCGGAATGAGTTTAGGGCTATGGGAATTGGTATTAAATATTAAAAGTTGTTAATGATGTTTTTATCCCAATAATAAGTAGTTTTATGAAAGAAATATTGAATTATTTTCCCATGCACAACATATCTAAAGGAAAAAATATTCTTGATAAATTCCCACCATGCTCTTGATTTTCAATAGGTTGTCGTCTGTAAAGCGAAAGGTCCTAAATACTATTCATAAGCATAGCTTTTCTGCTCTTACCTTTCCAGCGATGGACTTCTGATGATATTACATCCGAGAATTTTTGCTTATCTCGTTTTATTACTGTGCAATTTACTCCTAACGCGAAAGAAAAAAAAAATGCGTGTTATTTATCACGGCAGTCAACATACATTGTTCATTATTTTGTTGCTAGGTCTTCAATGATTTGTTGAGTTTAGAAGTGAAATTAATTATATAGGATCCGAGTGTTGCAAAGTATTATTAACACAAATCGTGTTTGAAAGCGTCTATTTGAGACTGGTCTAGTCAGTGTATTAAAGTGGCGGCCTTATATTTTGTATAACTATAGATATTAAACGATAATATTTGGAATAATTAACTTTAATGCAATAAGTCGAAAATGTTGGAGTAAGGATATTCAGTGGTATGATTCTGTAATTGCATGAAAATAAGAAGACGTTGGTTGACACCACTTGGGTCGTCGCCTGTTGTTAAGAAATTACTGTGTATTTTTCTTGCAATAGACTCGGCTGAAAATTAAATTTTTAAGGAGACTGGTTGACTCACATCTTTTTTATGTTATTCTTCATAAATTCTGCTAACCACTGTGAACAGGGGGAATGTTCAAATATTAACGTTAACCCTCCACATTATCTTCATTTTCTGTTTATTATAATCGTTCTTTTGAATTTGTTCCCTGAAAAAGATGAAAATGAAGATAGAGATTGGTATGAAATATCAAAGCTCTTTAAATAGTCCAATCCTCCGAAAATTTCATCGTACAACGCTTTTTCTTCAAGATAATCCAGTATCTCTTTGGTTCGTTGTTTTATAGTACAAAAATATTATAATTCAAATTCATAATGTTTTCAGGCTCGATTTCACTGTTCATTACAGAATTTTAAGTTTGTTTTTTTTTTAAGAAGAAAGTTTATCCAAAATGATTAAAAGGAATTGTAACAACATAGATTGAGACCTTGTATTTTATATAAATATAATGAAAGAAAAGTTTTTAAGTACCCCAATATTTATAATAAATTTAATGGGAAAATATACGTGTGAGTGTTTTTGAATGTGAAAAAGTGGAAAAAAAATGCCACTTTGCAGAGGAGTATAGAAAATTCGAATTAAGAAACGAGAAAATGATTATGAGAATGTCATAGCTGTGTACCAAAATCAATTAAAAAGTCGAACCAACATTTTTTTGATAGACGTAAAAAGACTCAATGAAGTTCTTTTATAGCATGGGAAACAACGGCAGAGCATTTGACGAAGATGACAAATCCTGCCTATAAGACTGCAGTTTTATTGATAAGAAGAAATAGTCAAAGAACGATCCGATGTTTTATTGAATTTAATTTTTTTAATTGTGGTGAAATGTTTCTTCTACGCCCCGTGGAAGCTAAAAAGAGTTCTTTCGAATTGCCAAGATACTTGAGCAAGTGTATTTCCTCATGATTTCCCTAATTAGTTTATTTGATTTTCATTAGACCATCCAATAAATATGGTGAAATCCGAACAAAACGAATATCCAACAATGCTGATAATTTATAAGGAATTAAATACTCATAAACATGTGTTTCTAATCTTTGCAGTTTATTTCGCTATTGAAACGCTAAAATGTAACGAGTTGAAATTGACAAGTTTCAATTGATCTTTACTCATTTCGAAATTCGTTACAGAATATCATTTAATATTTTCTCCAATAATCACCCGTTATTGGAAAGTAAAAGGATTATTAGGTACTCCGTTAGTATTTCTGGTATGATTGCCTCACTATTCATAATTTATTTACATATCGTTACTTTATAATTCTAGAGGCAATTGCTAACAAATTAACGATTTACTTCCGAATGCCCAACTGGGCAATATGATGTTCCACACATAAAATTCAATATGATTCCCAAATCCCGCAAATATTTTACCATGGGTTTCATGTGTGCCGATTAATTATCTAATAAATACTTCTTAAAACAACATTAAACTGATTCAACCTTCAACTGATTACTTATCAAATAATGATTAAGATCCGGATGGAAATTTTTCGCCAATATACGTATGTTAATCATTGTCATTTACATTCCCGGCCCAGTTTTATCACTATTTCATACGTAAATTGGATGAAAGCCTTTGAAATAAATGCAGAAAGAGCTCTGTATGGAGTTTTTTGTTCTAATATTTGGTGTGTTGCGTGCAACCTATATGTTTTTTTTTATCATTTCTGGCTAAAATTGTATGACCACCATTGTTTCATCCACATGAGTTGGCAAAAAGTTTCTATCTGGTTCTTCAACTTTGATCAAGTCCTAATGAAATTCCAGACATACATCAATTGAAATTTAATTCAATGCTGATTAAACTGGAACAAAAATTCAATAAAAAGTCCATTAAGTATCGATTGAATTGTAATTAAATGGTGATTAATTAATTAACTTCTGTTTGAAGTTAATCACCCCTCTCTTGACCTTTTTATTAGCAAATTACTTTGCCCAAGATAACAATCATTAAACGTGCATGACTGGCTCCTTACCACTATTAGTGTTTTTTGCAGATTTCTGGTTAAAAAATGGTTTATGGGTTTTATAGTTATTTAATTACGAGCGAAGTCTTCTTGCCCTGGAACAATGTTTTCCGTACGGCTCCTCACGATTTCTCGTCCGGAAATTGGTAGTGCTTATTTCCTGAGCTAGAAAACTTGAAAATCACTATGAAAAAATAATATTCAGGCGGTTGAGATGAAGTGTTTGCACTCGAGTGCTTGGCCAGTTTTCGCCTGTATCTCGAATGCTAATTCCATACTGAATAAAAGAAAGTTCTTTGACAAGTGCGTTCTCACCAGTATGAAGAAACGCATACTCTGAAATTTTCAATAAAACGATATCTTGAACTGAGAGAAGTATCCTCAAATAATTTTGACAGTGAGATCTTTTGCATTTTCTAAAAGAAATTTTGTTAGTAAATTTGCTCGACTAGACTTGGTCTGAGGAGTCACATTATTAATGCGAAAAAAATCATCAACCTCTTTGGAACAAATGCAGAATTTCATGAAATAAGTGTTTCTCTTGTTAGAGAGAGATATGATTCTATTTTCAATTTTCTAGTAATAAATTTCAATGAATACAAAGAGAGACGTACTTTTTCAAAACTCCTCATCTTTTGGACAAGTACTGAATCCCTTGACTAAAGTTTTTTTTCCTCTCACTACAAAATATTGTTTCCTTGGAAATTCCAACTGCCCGGAAATCTGCTATTTCAAGTTTTTGAAAATATTCCAGCCAAATCCATGAAATTTTAGAAACAATGTAAAAAGTAGGAACTTTCCGTGCAGGTGTGTTGAAAAAATAGTTTCACAACCATGAACTGGTGACTTATTTATTTTTGCGTATCAATCTAATTGACGGTTCATCAGGAATCTAGAAAAAATATGAAAAGTGGGAGGACAATACCACTATATGCTTAAAAATAAGAGTGATTTTTGCATAGAATCCGTGATAGAAATTTTGGATTACACGGTTTTTTTTCGGGAATTAATATTCTTCAAATGTATATCTATAGGAGAATATCGGGTCAAATAGAATGACGGTGTTTTTGCCAATTCAATCATTTTTTTACGATTTGTAGTGCGGTGGTAGTGATTTTGGCGAGTGTTTGATGGTGCTCCAATAATCATGATATAAAAACTTCCGCATAATCAACCATTAAACACATATTGCCCCACCGTTCTATTTTGCCCTACTCTCCCCTATGTATCATAATATAAATAATATACATGTATATTGTGTATACAAATAAAATTAGATATTTATTTTTTATATTTTAATGAATAGTTTTTATTTCCATATTTATGGTTAATATTATAGTACATAACATATTAATCATCTAATAAATACGCAGCGTGTCTGTAGCTGAAAGGGATTAAAGAAGTGCATTTCCGAAATTTCAAAGGAAGAGGCACCTACATTCACTCTTTTTGTTCTAAATATCGTTGACAACAAAACACTTGAGAACCTTATTCTAAAATCAATTATAAATTGTCTATAGAATCTTTCGTCTGTGAAGCTCAAGGGGAAATTTTGAATTACTACATATTTAGGATAAAATTACAGCCGCATAATTTTACCCCCAATTGGTCAGAAACTATAAAAAATATGGCCAGGGGACATTAATTATGGATTCAAGAGACCGACTGTACTTGCGCTGTCACTACTGGATCACACTATTGTATTTCGTGAAAAGCAAAATGATACCTACACAAAAAGTCTTGACGCCAAAATTGCGCATTCCTTAAATAACCTTTTTTTAGTGTAGGTTTTATCTCATCTCAAATGATATTATTGGTGAAATTGAAGAAAATTTTCGGTAATTATATAGTAAATTTACACCAGCACTTTGGTCCTAATCCTAATCCAAGTGGGAAATTTTCAACGAATTTCATACGATCATGTTTGTGCGTCTTTATTTTCCATCATATATGTTCCCAAGTCTAAAGATTTAAACGGAAAAGTTAAATACCCTAATTTTACCGTTCTTTACGTCACCCAGTCGAGCTGGGCCTGGCAGTGTATCTGACCCTATGATAACACATGTTGATACACTTAAAGACAATGAATGGATGAAGAAGAATGGACGGGTGTCCATCCGTGAAAAGACATGTGATTTCCAGGCATAGTCTTAC